ATGTTTAATATATGATGGAGCTTGGTTGTTAAGAGCTTTGTATGTTAGGAGTAATATTTTAAATTCTATTCTGAATTTGACAGGGAGCCTGTGGAGAGAAGCTAAAACTGGAGAAATATGATCTCTCCTTCCAACTCTCTTTAAAACTCTAGCAGCAGCATTTTGGATCAACTGAAGACTTCTTAAAGAGTTTTTTGGATGCCCAGATAATAAAGTACTTATAATAGTTATAAGGAAAATAAATGGGTGATAATTTATGGATTCATCACCAGTTTTCAGTTATCGTTTTTTTTTTTCTTATGACCAGCAGGGTCTTAAGAGATTTTTAACGTGTTGCCAAACTGATTTCTTAAAACCTGTCCTCACTCTTATCAACAAACATGCATGCAGTTCATCTTTACGCCAAACAGCATTGCTTTTCTGACTGTGGTCTGTGTGATTTTATAGAACAAGTCCACCATGTTGGAACTTCACATTACAGGTTTTAATGCTTAAAACATGGACTGTAATGTATGGCACTACTTTACATGAAAGGTTACACTGGAGTAGGCCTGAAGTTACTAATACACTAGGGGTTTTGAAGCATTGTTTTGTGAAATGTAATGCTTATGTCTTTTGTTTGACATTAAAGAGACTTTAATGGAACCTGCAATATTCTTGACTCAGCATAGCACTATATGGTATCTATAGAAGACGTCCAAAGGTGGCAAAATTCCTTCTTCCAAAGGCTTTTAGTTTGTCAGGGCCAGAGCAACAGCCTGAGTGGCAGCAGACATTTCAGCACTACAGTGTAGCTAAGAAGCTCAACATAGAAGAACATGAGGTCCAGGTCTGTACACTGCTATATTCACTCGGGCAAGAAGCAGAACAAGTGCATACATGTCAACACCTTCAGGCATTTACTTGAATATACGGGTGTAGAGATAAGTAATGACCAAGACATTCTCTGTGTGGCTACATGTAATGACCCTCAAAAAGCCATAAGTTTCACAGAAAATCCATACTGCTCACACACAAGGTGAGGGTCTGTTTGCTGCAGAGATAACAGCTCCTGCAGGGCAAAGGAGGAGGAAAGGAGGATGGGAGAAGTTGAGAACTTATTTATAGCTGCAGAATGGTTGGAGCATTGGTTGGAAGGTGGTTATTTAATTTTATTTATTGTTTTTTATTGTCCTACAGGGTCTGAGATGTAAACCAAATTTGAAACTGAGATTTCTGAATGGGTGTTCTGAACTGTAATTTCATTGTGCTCTGTACATCGACAATAAAGATCTATCTTTAAAAACTCATTAAACTTAAAGAAATCCATGAGATTGCCCTACGCGGCAAAATGAGTGAAAATTACGGACTATTTGTACAACTTGACGTGTATGCAACTGTTTACATTTACATTCGAACAAGGGGAACACAAAAATAAGCATGAGATAGTTTCAAACCAACTCGACAACTATTTTACCTTCAAAGTGAACGCAATGCATGAAAGAGCTCATTTTCATCAGCACACTCTTAGGTCGGGGGAAACCGCGAAACAACACAAGAAAGCAGTCCACAGGTTAGCAGACACTTGTGTTTTTGATCGTGTTAAAGAAGAAAATATCTGCGATCAGTTGGTCAAAGCAATATCAGAGAAGCTGCAAATTATACCTGACTTAACCCTCAGTAAAACAGTGAAGATTGTGAGACAACTGGTTCGGGCCGCATTAATGGTGAAACTTTAAAT